AGGGAGGCAGGCAGGCAGGCAGGCTGTGGGGGAATATGAGAGCGGTACACTGGAAACGCTGGAGAGCACTGCGTGTCAATTAGCCTTTTGAGAAATGCGAATTCCTTTCCCCAGCCATCATGTCTTTACCCAGTCCCAAGAGCGGCCTGCTGGCCCAAAGAGAGAGTCTATCTCACAGGCCTCATGGGTCCAGCAACCCTGAGAAGATGTGTGCACGCGCCACAGGGCTAAAATGACAGCAGCATTTGTATTCATTAGCATCTCCACCTCTGAGATTGACATTTACAGGCCTCTATTAAGCCTACTCTTGACCCAAGATTGAAAGCAGGTTGACAATTTATGCATCCAAGGTGGGATATTATGCTTCCACAACATCCTATGGTGGAAAACACATTATGAAATCAGCCTAAAGAAGAAAAGCCCAGCTCAACCCGATACTGCTGGTGATGAGAATCCCATCAGGCAGCAGCTTGGCCTCCTCACATGAAACCACCACAATTCAGCACCTGTCCATCCTGCTACTGCTTTACAGTTGCCAAGCGAATTAACTGCTCAAAAAAAACACTATAAGCAAATAATTGTAGCTTGATGCACATGGAGAGCAGTGTTCTTCCATTTTCATTGGTCCACCGTGCATGCTTGCTTCTGGCAACTATTCAGGTTTTCTTTGTGAAACTGGGTCACGGTGATGGGTTGATTCCTGACGCAAAATCACTTAATAAGATGGCAATTTGCGGCAATTTAGGTCCTATAACATACATCCATGCATATTTCCGCGTGTCGGATCTTTCCATTAGCATGATTTAGGAATTCTCACTACCACATCCCCAGCCTTTCCCCCAGGAGACAGTCCCGCGGGGAGAGGAGGGGGGCGGGGTGGATCAGTGATAGAGTTACTAGAGCGCCCCTCCTCCCATGCCCATATATGGTCATGGCTGAACTGAAGGCTGCGCGGCCTCGTCCGAAGTCCACATCTCAGCTCACCTGTGTTGAAATGCGACCAGGAGACGCGGGTCAAGGATGTTTTCCTCTGGCTCCCATGTGTTGTATCTGCAGGAGAGGAGCAAACAACTGTCAGACAGCCATCACGTGCAAACTTCCTTTTTCTAACTGACACACAGCCCCCCCTCTGTCCTGTCACACACACATTCCCACATCCCCACCATAACTGTGCAGTCAGAGTGGAGGGGACAGGTAAGGCTGCATGTCAGAAGATTTGTTATTGTAGCTTTTGTTTTTTTCCCCCTCCACCCTTAAGATTAATTTGCAAGATCATAAATAACTATAAGCCACATTCCCGCAACAGCAACAGCAAATCAACCATGAGGACATGCAAATGCAGAGCAAAAACAAAATGTCAAAAATAGTCTGTATTTGCCCTAAAGGATCCTTCAGCACCAACATACAGTCGGCCATTTTAGCACCACTGTCTCGTAAATTCGCTGGCAGAGCAGAAATAATTAAAACGGGATTACATGGCTGTGCCTACCCCCTTCCCTCGCATAAATTAGTGAAGGCATCCGCGGATACACTGAAACACATACCGACCGCGCTCTCCCCAGTTTACACACACACACACACACACACACTCATGCAAACTGTGCGCGCACGCCCTTGATGGATGGCATTTATTTAACTAACAGCATAGATTTTCGTGCAGAATGTCGCATTTTTTTGCCATTGCACTGGCACATCGTTAGAAATGTTGCATCGAGACTTACTTGGGAGACCAGCCTCGCCACTTGACCAGGTACTCTATCTTGCCCTGTGATGGTGGAGAAGGAGAGGGAAAAAAATTATAATTAGTGAGGCTCGAGTCTGAACCCCCAATATCTCCACGTCGGGAGCGCCTTTTTGCAAACGTGCCCCCTGTCTGTTACCTTGCGGATGCGCTTCTTTTCGATGCCCTCCACCGCAAAGACGTGCTCTCCGGCGGCAGGGAGCTCCATTCTCGCCTGAATCCTATCGCAGGGGACGGGGGGGAGTAGGTGAAATGCTGGCTACGCACCGTCGATGTGCCTTCCGCTCGGTGCGTGCTGTGCGCGCTTGGTACTTTTCCAGTTGTATCCAAATCCAACTGTATTCCCTCTCTCTCTCTCTCTCT